ATAGCAACCGTAGAGCCTATGATCATACTGGGTTTTTCTGTTTTTTATTCTTCCAAGTTCCAACGTCTTTTTGGGGTCTTAGTCTCTCTTACCTTTGTCTCTAGTATCTCCCTCCCTGTCCATATCTTTTCTTTTAACCCTTTTTTTTCCTACTTTCATGCCTTAAGTCTTCTTTTCCTTCTGATTCATTTCTGTCCAGCCTTAGAGATGTAAATCTTACTACTTCTGTTAAGTCGTCTTCCTCTTCCAGCTCTTTTCCTGATTTTTATAAAGGAAAAAGGGAATTGGAAGTTCTAGTGACCCTCTTAGACTATCTCTACCGCTAAGTTTCAACCAGATGAAAGCCAATACTTCCTCTGAAGAAGAGTCATTCCTGAAGAAGAGTCATTCCTGAAGAAGAGTCTTACCCAAAAACACTTTGAAGTCTCCATGGAGTTTCGTGATCATGCCTAATCTGCTTAGCAGGTAAATTTTGCAGCCCTATCTAACTCTCCCATTTCATGGATCTGAATGTGTAGCTTATACAAGTTTTGTTACTTTGTAACAGGGGACCTGTTGAAGCTGCTTCTTCTGCTTTTGATGCTTCGTAGTTTCTTCGTCTCTTTTGTCTATGGTTGTTTTGTTACACAGTGATAAGTTTTGTCTCTGTGTTTGGGAACTGTTGCTGTCTGTTGCTTCCAGTTCCACAAACGTTTGCTTTCTTCTCGTCTTTCGTAGTTTGTGAAGTGGTGTAGACGTTCTGCTACCTTGTTTTTGAGTTTTAATGTTAAAAGGATATGTATCCCTTTTGTTCCCTATAAATTATTATCATTCTCAATGATTTATATTTTACCTAGCTGAGATTAGCTGAATCTACTCGAAGATTAAAGGATTATCTGAAACTCAATTGGGAAAATAATTTCTAACAATCTGTTTTCAACTACTTTTTTAGTTTTTTTTTTGTCAACTACTATCTGTTTACAATTTGCAGCCGACAATTTATAGCCCGTTATGAGCCCATTGGACTATCTTCCCTTCTTTACTGGGCTTTAACTTGACGTCGTGAAAACGAGTTTCCTCCTCCTTTTTTTTCTTTCTACATGTTAAAAAGACAAAATTTAATTACTTTAAATCAATAATCATGGTAGTAGGGTAAGTCTTACTATTTAGAGGAATGTTAAGAAGGAGAAAGATAAAAAGAAATAGACGTTTGGGACCGAGTAGAGGAGAGAGAGAGGTTGTTGAAAATGATAATAATTGAGACTTTGAGAGTTCTATATGTTTGGTGTCCGAGTTTTCATGATGGTTCATTATTACCGTTGGGCCCAATAACAACAAGAAAGGACACTTTTGTGGCATTTTGTTCGTTTTAACAAATAACTATTTGAAGTATTCAATGTATGGATACCGACAAGTTGATATGTTAAAGCTTAAAGGCACCTTTTTATAAGTTTCATACTTAATTATATACTCTTAATCAGGAACTATATCTATACGTTTTAGATAATAGATATTTTACTCAAAAGTCAAAACATACAATGGAATTTTTCTCTATTATTACTTCTCTACATCCATACAGATTTACAGAGTCACAATTTAGTTGATTTGGTCAAGGATTTTAGGCCACATTTTGGTAACTATGTTGGTTGATTTGGTCAAGGGTTAGGATTTTGCTAATGCGTTTTCAATACGACTTTTCTGTTCATGGGTTAAAACTTTGAATTAGTAGTTTAAACTTTCATGATTTTAATCTGTTAAAACTATACATATATAAATTAAACGTGCTGGCACGGTACGGTATTGTATCTATATTTTGTATAAAAATACTCTGTATTTTGACAAAGTGAATCAAGCTTAGTTGATAACATGTGCAACTAGTGAATGGGTTAGCTATTGTTATTACTTATTACTTATCAGACGCAGCTATCTAATGAGTAATACTATTGACATGTGATAAAAGGCTTCAGAACTAAAATAATGATTTATATACACGATTAAGATAATTACAGTATCATTTTGTCAAATCTTCAAACGGATACTATCAAAAACAGGGGCGGATCTAGAATAATTATTCAATGGGTGCACTATTAATAGAAAAGAAAAATAAGGCACAAAGGTGAATCGAACTTGAGTTATTAAGAGTGCACTTATCGGTTTTTCCAACTCATTTAACAGAATTTCAATGTTTATGAACACAAATATTATGGGTGCACATGCCCCCATAGTTCATAACCTGCATTCGCCTTTGATCAAAAATGTTGGGTGCTGCTGACTGCTAAGTAAGGATAACAAAATATGTATAGTATTAAATAAATCTGCGTGGACCGTTTTATCCTATCTCAACATTTTTTTTTTAATTTGGTGTATGTTCATGTTTTTAATCAAAATTAAAACAAATAAAAAAGAAATTCAAAATCCACTACATATTATTTGAGAAGTAACATTATTGAAAATTGCTTACTTGTCAACACTACAATCAAACTTAGTGTTTTTAATTGATGACATGTAAATGTGACATGTCAAACTTCCTAAAATAAACGAAATATTTTGATTGGTTAAATTGAAATTATAGAAATTGTAGAATTAAAATATAAATAAACTAAATTATATTTATAACACTAAAATTAACAAATTTAAATTAACAGAAAATAAAAGCTATTATAATTTAATTTTTTACATATATTCATAATTTCATAAAAACAATTACGAAATTTTTTCAACAATATATATATATATTATAATTTCATATAAAAATAAAAAATAATATTAAATTATTAAATAGAATAATAAAAATTCTATTTATTAATAATACTTTAAGTATGATATATTTTTATTTCAGAAAGTTATTAATTAAATCTAAAAAAGTTTTAAATAAACAAATTATTAAATAATATAATTTTAAATAAAATACAATCATGATAAAAATAATTTAAAGAATAAAAAGTTAAAAATAATAAAAATAAATAACTTTTATTGATTATTTTTTAAAAAACGTAATTTTTTTAAAAAAAATTTCAAACCAATATTTACTAAATGAATAAAGTATATACTAATTATTATTTTATAATATTAATAGGACCATATATTTTTTTATAATTTTTATCATCTTTTTATTGTTGTTTTCTAAAATGTGCATAACTTATGTTATCATCTCGTCTTATCTCTTATCATATTTTAAATAAAAATAAAATTTTATATCATATTAATATATATACATAATTTTGTTTTCATTATATATCAAAATTTTGAGATCATAAATAATTTGAAAAATAACCGAACGAAAGAATAAATTATAATAAGATGAAACAATATGAATAAGAGATAAAAATAAATCTCTCGCCCTTTGTTTTACATAGTCATTTAAAAAAAATTTAACACGTAAAAGCCATATTTCAATTTTTTTACAAATACGCGTATATATAAAAATATTAATTGTACATTAGTTGAAGTCACATGCGAACTTTTTTGTGCATGTATTTTGTTAAGATTGATTACAGTCTAATTTTTATTTTAATTATTATCTAATTTATATTTTTTAAAAAATCTTTATTATTCTAAGTGTAGTAAAGTGATTGGTATGTCCGCATATGCGTGCCAACCATCTATCCGCTCTTATGAATAAGTAAAAATGGTAAAAACTATTTCTGTTTAATTTGCAATAAATCAAGAAAAATATATACTTAAAATATATTATATATGCATTTACAAACTCATATTATGTAAAACGCAGAAAAGCATATTGTAGATTGTGTAAAGAGAAATAAAGCATATTAATATTATAAGAATTTAATTATTATTTAATATAACTTTTATATTTGTGATTATATACTATTACAAGCATTATAAAAATATTAAAATATATTGATTTTAGAAAGAAGTTTGTGAAATATTAAAATAATATATATATATACAAATATACAAATGTTTAAAATTTAAATATTAGAATTAACTATATATATCAAAAAAATTATATCCGTACATATGTGCAGGCTAACCATCTAGTTGTATATTATACAACTCAAAACTTGTGTATACTACTAGTGTTTATAGATGCGCATGGGTGTGGTGTCCTACGTGGACGAATACGAAAGGGTGGTGTAGAATCAGTGGGACCCAAAGCTCTCCCTCTAATACGCCTCTCTGTGCCTTCGCCTTTTCCTTTTTGTGATTCTCTTTCTGTCCGAAGATTCTCTTTCCAATTTTCTTTTTCACGGGAAAAAAAACCAGCAAGACTTAATTCATTCAGTAAATAATTATAATGTACAGTACAAATAATTAATTTCAGGGAGGTGAAATTTATAAAAAAATAAAAATCCAACCTATCATCGAAATATCTTGAAATTCATCTAAGTTCATATTAATGAAAAAATCTTGTGGTGTGACATTAGACTTGGTTTCGTAAAAAGTTAATAATAGCACAGGCTTAATTTATGGCGCAAATTACATTAACTTTTAATTTCGCATAAAGCGTAAATTACTAAATTACATTAATTTAGGAAGCCAATTATCCCAAGCAATCCCAAGAAGGAAGTTACATTTTTTTAATACGAAAAATCATTTCCCGAGTCGTACATAAGGCTAGTTTCGTCATTTCACTAGTCATTTTTTTTCCATTTCTCTCTCTCTTCAAGCCCACCATAACCTAAACAAAAAGCTCTTCACAGCGTAAAAGCGGAAACAGAGCAGAGCGCCGAGAGAGATACACAGAGTGAGAGATAGAGAGAGAGATCTAGAAGAAAACACGATGAGATATGCGAAAAATATAAGGAAGCGGAAGCTAGACTAAGAGAATCTTATAGAAGAAACGAAGCGCCTTCTTCTTTCAAGGAATCTTCGTTTACCGACGAGAGCGATTCGATTTTCTTATTCTCGGGGTAGGAGGGACTCGACTGATCAGTGCTTTTCCGATTCGTTTGGTAAAATTTCGAGTTTTTTTTTTTTTTTTAGCTTTCGGATCACAATTTGGCTATATTATGCACTATAAATTTTCCTCTGTGATCGTCTGATTCTCTGACTCGAAACTTGTTCTTCTCTGGGTTTTTTAGTGCATGAGATTATATATTATTTTTGGTAATCATAACATGTTAAATCACAATTGACTATCTGTTTATTTATTCGAAAATCAGGTTGCTTTAGTTTGTTTCATCCGATTCTGGTCTTATACACTTTGAAATTTCTCTAATTTGTTTCGTTATATTCATTTTGTTGTTTGGTCAAAAGTCTCTGCTTTTCCATTTTTCAGGTTTTTTTTTTTGAATAGCTTGTGAGAGCCTGAGACGAAGGAGTTTGGTGTAGACATCATCCTCTTGTGGTTTGTTCGTATTTGCTGGAAAAAAAAATGGAGGTTGTGGCGAAGAGTAACTCGAAACGTATGTATTCATGGTGGTGGGATAGTCACAATACCCCCAAGAATTCCAAATGGCTTCAGGAGAATCTTGCAGGTACGTATGTTGTTAAGGCTTAGCTACTTCCAACGTATCTTGATTGCAATTTTCCAAATGTAGTTTCTTGCGTTTTGTTTTGGCCTATGGAAATATCAAAGACTTAGTCAGATGCTGTTACTGTGTATTGGTTTGGAAATCATGAAACTCTTTTTGGATATCTGAGATTTTTCTTTTGAAATTGTTCTTTTGACAGATATGGATAGTAATGTGAAGAAGATGATCAAGGTTCTTGAAGAAGATGCGGATTCATTTGCCAGGCGAGCAGAGATGTATTACCGTAAGCGTCCTGAACTTCTGAAACTGGTTGAAGAGTTCTATCGTGCGTACCGCGCATTAGCCGAACGGTATAATCATGCAACCGGCGTACTCCATCAGGCTCACCAGACTATAGCAGAAGCGTTCCCAAACCAAGTTCCCTTGATATTTGGTGACGAGTCACATGTTGGTGCTTTGACAAATGACGTTTATCCACAAACACCGGAGATGCCTCCTCCTATCCGAGCTCGTGTTGACTCGGACGAGCTGCAAAAAGGTGCTCTTGGGTTGACTTTACCTCACTTTAGTGAAGAACCTCCGTTTATGAGTAATGGCAAAGTAAGAAAAGGACTGAATTTTAATGATGGGGATGGGAAAGGAAGAGATGTTCCCAAGGCCCAAATTCTTTCGGAATCTGAACGAGCTAGCAAAGCTGAGGCTGAAGTTGTGGCTTTGAAAGATTCCCTTTCTAAGATGGAGGCTGAGAAAGAAGCTAGCTTAGCTCAGTTTGACAAGAACTTGGAGAGACTCTCGAATCTAGAATCCGAAATATCTCGTGCGCAAGAGGATTCAAGGAGACTTAATGACAGAGCCGCAAGCGCAGAAGCTGAGATCCAAACACTCAGAGAAACCATTGACAAGATAGAATCTGAAAAGGAATCCAGCCTTCTTGGTTATCAGCAATGCCTGCAAAAGATAGCTCTTTTGGAAGATGAAATAAGTGAGCGAGCCAGCGAAGTTGAAGCTGAAACTCTCGCCTTGAAGCAGAGCCTTGCGAAAGCTGAAACTGACAAGGAAGCCGCTCTTGTCCAATACAGGCAATGCTTGAAAACAATATCTAATGTAGAAGAGAGACTGAGGAAGGCTGAGGAAGATGCAAGGCTTACCAATGAGCGTGCTGAAAATGCTGGGGTAGAAGTTGAAAACTTGAAGCAAAAAATCTCGAAACTGGTCGAGGATAAGGAAGCTTCTGAAGTTAAATACCAGCAGTGCCTTAATATAATTGCGGAGCTGAAACTCAAACTGTACCATGCTCAAGAAGAAACCCAAAGGCTTAGCAGCGAGTTAGAGGATGAAGTTGCTAAGTTAAAGTTTTCTGAGGAGAAATGTAGTGTGCTTGAGAGATCAAATCAGAATCTTCACTCTGAGCTGGATGGTCTCCTGGAGAAACTGGGGAGTCAAAGTCAGAAGCTCACTGAGAAGCAAACAGAGCTGGTCAAATTGTGGAGTAGTGTACAAGAAGAGCATTTGCGTTTCCAGGAAGCCGAGACCGCGTTTCAAACCCTACAGCAATTGCACTCTCAGTCTCAAGAGGAGCTAAATATTTTGGCTGTGGAACTTCAAACCAGGTCCCAAATCATGAATGACATGGAGATTCGAAACAGTGAGCTGCATGAGGAAATTCAGAAAGCCAAGGTTGAGAACAAAGGTCTCGGTGAGCTCAATCTCTCTTCGGTAGCATCAATTAAAAGTTTGCAAGAGGATGTCTCAAGTTTAAAAGAGACAATACGAAAACTTGAAGCAGAAGTTGAACTAAGAGTGGACCAGAGAAATGCTTTGCAGCAAGAGATACATTGTCTTAAAGAGGAACTAAGTCAAGCAGGGGAGAAACACCAGTTGGTTGGAACATCAGTCAAAGAGTTTCAGGAGGAAAATTCAACCTTCAAAGAATGCTATGAGATAGCAAAAAGCGAAAAGATGGCTCTTCTAGAGAAGCTGGAAACAATGGAAAAGCTTGTTCAGAAAAACCTTGTGTTGGAAAACTCTATATCAGATTTGGATTTCGAGTTGGAAGCAATCAAAGGAAAGTTGAAAATGTTGAAGGAAGCTTGTCAGTCACTCTCAGAAGAGAAATCAGGTCTTATTTCTGAAAACCAACACACGGCCATTGAGAACATCGTCCTTGTTGAATTTCTACGACAACTTAATTCGGAAGCAGTTGGTATTGCAATAGAAAAGAAGAACCTTGAGGGAAAGGCAAGGAAAACTGGTGATAAGCTAATAGATGCAGAAACTGAGAATTTGCAGTTGAAGAGAAACCTGGTTTCCATCAGATCAGCCAAAGATCATTTGGAAGACGAAATTGCTAATGTGAATGATCAGTTACGTGAGAAGGAAAAGGAACTTGAAGAAATCAAAGCGGAGAAAGAAAAGTTGAATGAAGAGGTTTTTAAAGAGAGGAGTGAAGCTGAATTGTGGGAGTCTCAAGCTGCAACATTCTTCTGCGATAAGCAGATCTCGGCTGTACATGAAACAATGATCAAAGCGATGACTCATGAGCTAGCTGAAGCCTGCAACAATGTTGAAAGTAGAAGCGCATCAAAAGACGTGGGCATTGAAAAGCTTAAGAGAAGCCAAGCCTTTGTCTTGTTGAATGAAAGCATTAAATCCTTGGAGGATTATGTTTTCGTACGCCGTGAATCTAAGGATGAACTTTCAAAGGTAAGTTATCTTAGCAATATATCTCCACTTCTAAAGTTGATTCTTTGATGAAATTGAAACTGTTGAAGAAACTTGTTTGAACTTACTCTCATCTCTCTTACCAGGACGCTGAGGATGAATGTCCCAAGTTGGAAGATATGTCTTTGAGAATCAAAGCTATTGGAGAGGCAATAATGGAAAAGGAAAAACTTTTGATGCTTGAGAACTCGAATGCTTACTCTATGCTCGAGACAGCATTGAAACAAGTCAAGGAATCAAAAAACGGCGGAGGTAGAAGCATGAGGAAGCAGGAAGGAGGAAGTGGCAAAATGCGGAAGCCGAGTCACGAGATCGAGATAATAACGAAAGATATCGTGCTTGATCAAACATCTGATGGATCATCATATGAGATGACAAGTAAGAAAGGCGCTTTGGAGTTTGATGGTCAGAGTTTTTTTGAGCTAAAGCCGGTGAAGACTCGAAAGACAGAAACTCCGGTTAAAGCCAAAGGTAAATCTCTGTCTGAGGAGTCATTGGTTGTCGATAAGTTAGAGATTTTCGATGGATTCATGGATCCGAGCAGAGAAGTAAACAAGAGGAAAGTTCTACAAAGACTTGCTTCGGATTTACAGAAGCTGGAGAATCTTCGGATCACTGTAGAAGATTTGAAAAACAAAGTGGAAACAGAGGAGAAGGACAAGAAGAAAGCAGGAGGAGACGAGTATGAAACGATCAAAGGACAGCTCGAAGAAGCAGAGGAAGCGATAGAGAAACTGTTTAACGTCAACCGAAATCTGACCACTAAAGCCGAATCAGAGGAGGAGAGTAATCGAAGTAGGAGAATCTCGGAGCAGGCGAGAAGAGGATCAGAGAAGATTGGGAGGTTACAGTTGGAGATACAGAAGGTTCAGTTTCTGCTGATGAAACTTGAAGGAGAGAGAGAGAATCGAGCTAGGTCGAAAATTTCAGATACCAAATCGAAAGTTCTTCTTCGGGATTATATCTATGGTGGAACGAGAAGCGTATCGATGAAGAAGACGACAAAGAAGCGGCCTACATTTTGTGGTTGCGTTCAGCAGCCGCGGTCTCCATAAACTTGCTGAAAATTGAAACTGTTGTTACTTCACTCGCAAGTAACCAAAGTTTAATATAACAGCGTTTGCGATTGTGTTTTTGAACGCAAACGCAGTAGTAGTAGTGCGTTTAATTAAATAACAGACTAGCTTTTCAATGCTTTATTCTTGATGAAAATATAACCGTCATTTTAGGAAACGAGAGACTCCAATTATTGGTTTTTGTATTTTAATGAATTTAGAAAAAAAAAATCAAATCCACTCAAATATCAAGATTAAGTGGGGCATATTGTGATTTGTGATAATTTAGAAATCATCCTAATTTAAGGAAATTTGAGATTTAAGCAAATTTTGTAAACTGTTGTTACAAATTTTTAAAGATAATTAAAGAGAATTTAGGATATTTGAGAAAATCTTTTTTTTTTTACAAAGAATATATGTTATTTATTTTTAATAAAAATTATATTTTCATAATATAAAAATAACTAGGAAACACCAATATGTTACTTTCATCACCAAGATTTTTCTTCTCTCAAATCATTATGATTGATAGAACACTAAAAAATATAAAGTTTCCTAAGCTAACTTCGTTGAACACCATCGATCTGCCTATCTCAAAGCATTCTCTATTAGAACTTTTATTTTAATTCACTTGTTCATTACAGGGAATGGTTTCAGCTGCTAACGTTTCCGTGTCGAGCCATGTGTGTTTTGATAAAAGGCGTGCTAGAGTTCGGTGGTGATTGTATGTCCATCATATCCCATCATCTTGTGGAAATTGTAATCAATCAGCGCAGTCCATTTTATAACGAGAATGTCTTTTGTGGCAGTAGCTACAAGAATCTACCAGAAGACGAACATACAAGCACAAGAAATGCAGTGGTAGGACGAATACAGCAAAACGCAGGCCGGTCCATAGCATAAGCGGGCTAAACAAAGGCTTAAGACTACTAATTTTTTAAATAGTTTATAAGCCATATATTTAAAGAAAGTTATATTTATTGTGTCACAATATTAACAAATTTATGTTTTAAAATATAAAAAATATATAAAAAAACCTTTTTTCGCTTTGAACTATTAAAATAGTTGAACCGGCTCTAGTAAGACGATTGGAAATAGAGAGGACATGACACAAGGTGAAATTAGATTTTAACCCAGAAAATCCTAATCTCACTATGTTCTTCATAATAGTCAAAGGGTCACTAATCATGCTCTACTTCTGAGGGGAATAGTTTTATTGTTTTTGTTAAAAGTTTATAAGAAAAAAGAAAAGATTAGTTTAGTTTTTTTATTTTCTCAAATACTATCTCATGAGGTAATATTTGGATCAATAATTTTTTAACTACAAAGTACCTCACAAATCATTTCAAATTATTTTTGATATATTTTATTGTTTAAATCCTTATTTTCCAATAAGCTGGAATTTTGAAGAACTTTTATAAATTACTAATCCAATAACCTGGAATTTGGACTAATTTTTATAAATACTTAATCCAATAAGAGGAAATTTAGAAGAAAAAAATGAAACTTCCCCAAATCATTAAATCCAATATGACCCTTTTAATTTTATATTTTAGTTTTTGTATTTTAGTCACGAAAATCGTTCTAAATCTATTCAAATTCAATTAAAATTCAAATCTTTATAATATTTAGATTTTAAAATTGTAGATACAATAACATTGTATTTCATTATGGATTTTAAAATCATAGAACCAACAATATTGTATTTCAATACAGATTTTAAAATACATGAACCAATAACACTGAATTTGCTTTGGTTTATCAAATCCATTAAAATAAAAGATTTTAAACCTTGTTGATAAACTCTGGTACACCGGAAATTTTCTCTGACGATTCTTGTTTAGCCATGTGGAGCATGAAATCGCAGGCTGCGACGGCTTCTGCCACCGTAAGGTGAACCCAGTCTTTACCGACGCTCTCTAGGAACTTGGACTTGCTTAGCTTCTTCATCACCTCTGCTCCTGGATTCGCTATCACTAGCTGAGAAAATTAGAGGACCAAAATGTAAGATTAACAAATGTTTGGGGAGTTATCTTAGGAAAATTAAAAAAAAAATAAAAGACTTTTAGTATATACCTTAAGCTCTCTTCGTCCCATGGTTTTGTTTACTTCCTCAAGCATGCTTATACCACTCGTGTCGATGTTTCCCACAGCTAAAATATCATATATTATAGTGTTACATGTTAAATCAAAACTAAGATGATGTTTCATACTTCGGAATTCAAAATTTCTATTAAAATATTAAAAAATGTATCGTCTTCCTCCTTAGGGTTTGGCATTTTGTCGCAGTTTCTTACCACTCATATCGAGTATAATGTATTGTAGACTGATCTCTCCATTCTTTCCCAATTTATCTTCCTGTTCATCGATCCACCTTCCAATTCTAGCAAAACAATATTGTACATATAAACAACATTTGTATATATAATTCACGTATAAATAACTAAGATTCGATCATAATAATAATAAAATAAAAAAGATATGTGTAAATAGTTAACCTCTCTCGCAAGTAACTAGAGTTGGCGAAATAAATAGGACCATCAACATGGAGAATGATGAGGCCAGAGAGAGTGGTGGCTTGAGGGTATTGTTCAATGTTCCTAAAGATCTCTGTGTTTTGAATGTTTCCCATTTCATAAATCTTTGGTCTTCCCACGAACAACACTATCCTCATCACTGATATTCCCACCTGCAAAAATCAGTTGAACATCTCAAAGTTTATCAAGATAAAAAGTGATATTACAAAAGTAGGAGGAAGAGTTATAGACGTACAGAGAGGATGAGACCAGTCTCAATGGTACCAAAAACGACGCCGAAGTAAGCGGAGAGACATACGACGAAATCGAACTTGTCGAGTCTCCAAAGATGAATCGCTGCCTCGTAGTCGATAAGGCCGAGCATGGCGGCTATGATGATCGACGATAGAACTACTAATGGCGTATAATAGAATAACGGCGTTAAGAACATTAACGTTACCGCCACCGCAACCGCCATCACCACGTTTGATATTGCCGTTTTGCATCCCGCGTTGTAGTTCACCGCCGAACGCGAAAACGGCCCTTCATAATTGAAAATTTAACTTACGTTTCTTTTTCTTAATGATTATGTAATGTCATAGAAAATAATATAAGTATATAAAATCATCATTTGCTGGCCATTCTTGGTATTTGTATGTATTAAAAGAAACAATAATAACACTTTCATTTATGCAATTTTGTTTTTGGTTTCAGTTTTGCTATGGGATCTTAATTTAAAAATTTTCATACTCTTTACTAAAGACAATAATTATTCAGTAAAGAAAATGAAAACTGAAGAATAATTACCGCTAGTGAGATAGCAAGAGGAGAAGGAACCAAGAATGTTCATCATCCCAAATGCAATCATCTCTTTGTTCCCATCTATGTTGTAATTCTTATACATTGCAAAGCTTCTCCCCACTGCAATTCCTTCCTACATAGTATATCATTTTTTTGACACAAGCATGCACTTAAGAATAGGGAATTTTGATTTTCTGAAAAGAAAATCCAAAATGTACTAATGAAATTACTCACAGCAAGAACTATGATTCCAGTGATGATGCCTATTTTTAGAGCCAATGTGACATAAGGTCCCGTGAAAACCAAATGTGTGATCGACAGTGGATTAATCCCTTTCGTTAATTCTCCAATCTACTCCCACAACAACAATAAAATTTATTTAACACGAGAAATAAAACTATAAAATAAAACTATTTCTATTTGCTAAACAAAAAAATAAAACCTTTTTCAGTTTTTCATAAAAATACTTGTTTACATGCAAACGTGAATACTAAACGCAAACATAAGTTTTTATTTCCTTTGTCTTTTGCGTTGGCATTTACAACTACCGTTTTTTCTTTTTTTTTATGCCAAGTGCCAACGTAAATGCATACGTTGCGTTTAGTGTAATCATTAGAAAAATATAAAATGGTCAATGTAAACGCATACGCAAATAAAATAATCAAACCTAGATTGTGAGTTTTTGGCCGAACAAAAATAAAAGAGAGTAGTAGTAGATTCGTACAATTTGGACGCCATGGAATTGGGCATGGAGGAAGTAAACGAAGAGACTTCCAAAAATGACAGAAACAAGTGGAGCCATTGCAGATATCCAGAACAGCTTTGGTCTCTTCTTGCTCTAAAATTAACACATCAATGTACTTGTTACATTAATGGTTCATCTAAAACGAATTTAAAGTATAACATACATGTATAATGTGTATATGTATACATATATAAATTAACTAAGAAGTTAAACTTACAATGTATTTGGTTGTAAAAAGGAAGAAGAGGAAGCAGCACCCTAGTACTCCACTCTGCCATCTCCACTGCATATTTTTAAATAATGCAAAATGTATTATTTTATTTACAGTTACCAAAATTTTTAAATTAATATGTAAGCAACTTAATTTAGTCTTTATAATGATTATTAAACAAAATGAAAGGAATTTAAATCGGCCGGTACAATATTGGCAAAGACATCCCGTGAACAATACAACAAGATTGCGTCATGCCACTTGCAATCATAAATTGATTTTTTTTATAAAAAAAAAAACAAATAAGAGAAAGTCATTGATTTAGAGAAGCAACTGATCATATAACAACACATGTTGATGTTGGACATTAATTAATTAACTACAAAGAAAATTTAATGAAAAACGAATGATAAAACGAACCAGATGAGACTGAGAAAAGATGGAACGGAGAACGGAGACGAGATCGGTGGAATGGGTGAAGTGACGGAGACCAAGTAATGCTTTTAGTTGCTGCAGACAAACCACCGTCGCTGCTCCTCCCATGAACCCTACAATCGCAGCGTGTGACAACATATCCACCACAAATCCTAACCTGTTTTTTTTTTTTTTTTAATAAACATTCACTAAATTCAGTCAGTTTCTTTTTATTAATTATTAATTATTAATTATTATACATATTTTTGGATGTCTCATATACTTTGATATTTTGTTATGTTTATATATATATTTTATAGGATTTTTTACTTTGTAATATATTTTAGGTTTGATGGCTTCAAATGTGATGATCCATGTTATATTTTTTTTTTCTACTTTTTTCTATGGTTTTGAGTTTCGGTACGATTGTATTCCAACGGTGTGGATGAATCAGTCAATGTCAATAACTAACTATCTTTGGTTCATTACAAAACAAAATTTTCTTAGAAAATACTAGACCAATATTTGTGTGTTTATAATAATTCAAATGTTTGCTTTCTAAATTTGTTCACGTGAATTTTTTTCTCTAAATGTTAGATTAGTTTTCTAATCGTATTATTATTATTGTTATCCTCTGACATATTTGCCTCAAAATCGAACATGGATCATTCCCAACTCTATACTGTATATGCTTATTTTTTCTCTTAATATAGTATAATATACGGAGTATCAAATTCAAATCTTTATTTTTGCTAACAAGAACAAAACAGCATGCACGAGGTAAAATCCTTTCGCGGACAAGACAAGGTGCAAAATGTTCCGTTCCCACTTTTTATAAAATGCTTCTAATTATAAAATAACTCTATATATAAAACAGTAATACTACTACTATATAGACACACATTTTATCGGTTATATATCTCTGCCATGATTATCTTAGAATAGCATACCGTAAGAGGCCAAGGCAGGTTTGCATGAGTCCGGCGAAGAAAGTGGCGGTGAAAGCTAAGTGAAGGTAAAGCTTTGGATTCTCCACCGCGTTTACCTCTTTCCCTAGCATTGCCGCCGTTAACAGCGACGTTACCGCCACCGTCCCCACCGCTAAATCTCTTGAACTTCCCATTATCGCGTATACAATCGGTGGCACGACGCTCGAGTCTACATTTATATATTTTCCACGTGCACATATTTTCAGTATATGTATATAGACTATAGTAAACTAAAAATAGATTAATTAATGTAAAAAAAACTCTGTACGAGAAAATGGGTGGGCAATAAAACTGATGAACCAAACCAGATCAAATCGAATTGAAATATATTTTGACCTACAAATTCTCTCTCTTGAAACAAAAATCAAAAGTGAAACAATAAACACACAATTACATATGATTTTTTTAATGACCAATCCAAAACCAAGGTAAGTTCTAATTTAATGTTGGTGAGTTTTACTTATATTCGATATTTTCTGTAGTTTTTGCCAAGGTTGTACAAATCTTAGATTTGCTTTCTTTAAATTTAACTTTCATTCTAATGATATTTACATTTCTAGCAAAACAAGTGTACTATTAGACTTCTTTAATTAATAAGTAACATTGAACAAAGAAGAAGAAGAAGAAGAAGGAGAAGATAGAACGTACAAAGACCAAGGACTGGAGGGAGATTCGCGAGTTGAGCATAGCTAATCCCTTGAGGAACAGCAAGACTTGCGATCGTGATCCCTGAGATAACGTCTGATTTCAAATACTCCAAATTGTAATGACGAGCCCACTCCAAGATCGGGAACACGTGTTGCAACCCTAACTCGATCTTTTTCAACGTTCTTGATTCGTTCCTGATTTTTCGGAACGGATCGTCGGCGAAAAGTAGCTCACTGAGAGTGTTTTTCAGTGATTTCAAGAAAGGTTGTGGTGGAGGAATCTCCACTTGGTGGCATTGTGATGCCCTTTTGCACATATTCTATAGTTTAACTGTTTTTGAAAAAAAATTATAGAATGAGATTGATGATTGATCAAAAGTTTTCTCATTTACATTTGGGAGTGATGAGAACGAGAGGAATAGATGAAGGTTTTTATAGTAAGGGAGTATAGAAATTTTGCATTTTCTTTTACATTCCCATCGGGACCCACAGTGGTTTTGTTTTGGTTAATACCTATAGAGAAGAAAACTATGGTAACTTTTTTATTGTATATTTTCTATATTGAAATTTTATTCTTTACTTTAGGATTAGCATTTGATTGTATATTTTCTTAAACTGATTCCTTTTTTTTATCTTTTTTTAATTGAATTACTTGACTAAATTAAAGTTTTATCTTATTTCTTTTAGGATGTATTTGATTGTACATTTTCCTAAACTGAAATGTTGTTTATTTTTGTTTTTATTTTGCATTTATTAAATTGAAATATTTGATTGTGTATTTTCTTAAAGTAAAAATTTATTTCTTGTCTAATAGGATAAGTATTTGATTGTATATTTTCTAAAATTGAAATTGTGATTATTTTTGTTTTTAATTTCTTTTTCTAATTGAAATATATTAGCTCAGCACCAATCAAGAATCTCCAAGGAATTCCAAGAAATTTTGTTATACATTTGTTCCAACCCTTAATCCACTTTTTTAAGTTCAGCCATATTGAATCAATCGAGCGGACTTCTAACACTTGTTCTACTTGTGGAAGACCTTGTGTTATATCACCGGATCTCGATTTTGTCATATATAAATGTAACTAATGTATCCCTTCTGTAAAGAATATTTCTGTAACGCCCATAAACTTTTGCTCCCGAAGTAGCTAAATAGGGCTTCGCGGATCATATTACTACAAAATCCCTTTGAACAATAAAAATTTGATCCGATTTTAGGTGTGGTTCTTTTTTGGCTATACATACACTTTCACAAAAAATTGCCCAAGACAGTATTGTGGACGTTTCCTCACAATAATTATGATGTTAATTTTGATGAAGAAAATACCAATTCAATTTGAATGGATTTAAAACAACGTTACTATATTTTCTTAAACTGATTTATTTATTTTTTTAATTGAATTACTTGTCTAGATTAAAGTTTTATCTTATTTCTTTTAGGATGTATTTGATTGTATATTTTCCTAAACTGAAATGTTGTATATTTTTGGTTTTTATTTTGCCTTTATTAAATTGAAATATTTGATTGTGTATTTTCTTAAAGTAAAGATTTATTTCTTTTCTAATAGGATACGTATTTGATTGTATATTTTCTAAAAATTGAAATTGTGATTATTTTTGTTTTTAATTTCTTTTTCTAATTGAAATATATTAGCTCAGCACCAATCAAGAATCTCCAATGAATTCCAAGAAATTTTGTTATACATTTGTTCCAACCCTTAATCCACTTTTTTAAGTTCAGCGATATTGAATCAATCGAGCGGACTTCTAACACTTGTTCTACTTTTGGAAGACCTTGTGTTATATCACCGGATCTCGATTTTTCATATATAAATGTAACTAACGTATCCCCTTCGTAAATAATATTTCTGTAATGCCCATGAACTTTTGCTCCCGGAGTAGCTAAATAGGGCTTAGCGGATTTTATTACTACAAAATTCCTTTGAACAATAAAAATTTGATTCGATTTTAGGTGTGGTTCTTTTTTGGCTATACATACATTTTCACAAAAAATTTGCCCAAGACTAAGTATTCTGGATTTTCCTCACAATAATTATGATGATAATTTTGATGAAGAAAATACTAATTCAATTTGAATTATCATCGTACAAATTTAAACGTTTTAGTACAAACTATATCCAAACCTTTAACTAAAGATATAAATACATAATTTTACTCATCGTTCATATTTTGAAATGGTCATGAGAAAGAGAAACCATTGCATGTACGAAAAGAAGAATGTTTGTATATCATTAGTTTTAACTTTTAACGGGTTATGTTATTGATTAATGCATACATAATTCATTTCACCATATTGTATCATAAAATATTTGCGTTGCGATCCCAAGTTCGAGCAGAAAGACTAAGAATTATCAAGAGATTTTCAATATTTGGACTTGCGCGAAAACTATTATTACATAAAGAACAAAAAAATCGATAAATGATTAAGAGATATGATTAAAATGAAGTAGCAACATGAGCTGTTCCAACACTTCCTAATTTGATCACTCTCGTTACCACTATTTTTTTTGTCGATTTGCATTTGGAGCATTTCAGAATTATAAACATTCGCTTTCCTTTCCTTCAACACACAGCTCGAGGCCTCCCATGTTTTTACTCTCTTTTTGCATTATCAAAAATTATACAATTTTTTGTTTGATGAAAACATAGAACTCCAAGTTCTTAATTTATAAACTATAAATCCTAACTCGTAATCTTTAAACCTTACCCTAAAGCCTAATCAAAATGGTTTACAGTATTTCTTTAATTGTAAAATACTCAGCCTGTAATTATACTTTTATTCAGTTATCCCATCTTTTGTTTTTCTTAGGTGGAAAAAAAAGTCTTATACACTTCTCGTGAATGTCCTTTAGCTACACTACACACATAATTTGGCATTTTCGTTATAATCTTTTCTTGATCCACTGTTTCTGTTTTCTGTGTTCCCTCTATAACCACATGAACATGTGAACTGTATAACCATGAATATATACCAAAAAAGCATTCTTATTATAATATCTTTGAGAGACTAACAAGCCTTAATTACCATCTTGATAATAAATTAATCATCTTTGTACGGCTCTAAATACAGTAAGAAGAGACAAGAAGAGGTTGATGATGTCTAGGTAAAGCGAAACAGCAGCCCAAATATACTCATCGTATGTGTATCGTTTGATCAGATTGTCTGTATCATAGACTATGTATCCACAGAATATTATCGACGCCAAGCAGCCGTAGATCATCACCGATATCCTCCCCAATGGAAACAAAATCTGCGCAACATTCGCTAAACCGGTTAAGCAATCAAAAGCAACCACAATAAAGATCATTTAAGTTTCTATGTAATGCTTATAATGAAAACTCAAGTTTCTAACATATCTAGCCAGAAGAATGTTACCGAAAGTACCACATCCAATAGGTTAAAGCTCTCTCATTCTCTCTGTAACGCCTTCCGTGTGAAATCAAGTTTCTAACTAGTTAGGACTTAGCGTTAAAAATGCTACCAAAACTACCACATTTAATAAGTTAAGCCTAAACACTCTCATTCTTACAGTGAAATCAAATCATAACTACGACATTCATTCAATATGCTAAAACACTCGTTCTCTGTAATGCCTAAACTGAAATCAAGTTTCTAACTAACTTCTTAGCCTTACAAAGAATGCTACCAAAACTACCACATTTCATAGAATACGCCTAACGTGTAGCCAAAAGAATGTTACCGAAAGTACCACATCCAATAGGTAAAAGCTCTCATTCTCTCTGTAATGCCTTCTGTGTGAAATCAAGTTTCTAACTAGTTAGGACTTAGCGTTAAAAATGCTACCAAAACTACCATATTTCATAAATTCAGCCTAGAACACTCATTCTCTGTAATGCCTAAAGTGAAATCAAGTTTCTAACCAACTTCTTAGCCTTAAAAGAATGCTACCAAAACTACCACATTCCATAGGATAAGCCTAAGACTCTCTCACTCTCTGTAACGCCTTATGGTAATTATGGAATAAGTGGTGTTACTTGTATTAAGGCAAAGACAAGAAGCACGATGAGAGCTCCAAACAAGAAAGGTCCCAGGAAACTGAAGTCATGTCCTCTTCTTGCTGCCCAAAAGGTGTATAATGTGAGGGAAAGCACCACGGCTGTTGTCAAGATCGCTGACTCCAGAATCACTTTCCCTGTTCCACCACAGAGTAAGATCTCTATTAAACACATACACTATGGAGCCAGAGACATTGAGAGATATCAAAACAAGAATCAATAAGTAAAAACTGGAGATAACAAATATGCTTTAAACTAAGCTAAAAAGGGTTTCTCAAAATCGATTGATCTTACCATTGGTGAAGGCACAAGTCAATCCAACGACAAAAGCCAGAGCCAAAGTGAAAATCCCCAACAGCAAGTAGTTCACCGGATGTTTCTGGTGGTAATAGTACAACGGGCACAGCACTAGAATCAGAGAAACAAACATAAAAATCAATTTTTCATCTGAGAATGTTAACAAAATCCGAAATTTTGAAATTTTGAAAATCTGATTTCTCAATCGGGCAAGTGTATTGATGATTTTACCTATGAATGGCGTGATGACGAGGACTACGTAGAGAGCTAATCCAGCGCCGGTTTTGGTGAAGAACAGAGCTATTGGGTGGACGGTGACCACCGTGGCGGCGACGGCGATGGTGGCTAGGAGCTGAAAAGCGATTATAGAGTAGACCTTCCGTATAAATCCCCACCGGAGTTCAGGATTTTCCAGCATAGTCGGGTATAAAGGCCTCGCGCCACCGCCGGCTTCCACGTCATCTTTCCGGTACGGTAAGTTCCACTGATACATTACGGTATCAACTTTTTCCGACAAAGTGAACTAAAGCGCGAGAAAATTCGAATCTTTAGATGACTGTATGAGGATCGGAGAGACAGATTTTACGAGAAAGAAGAATCGGAAGCTGAATCGGTGCTTTGATCTGAGACTCTTCGTCCTGCGAAAAATGTTTTTGGATCTTCTTAGAAAAGCGGTGTGCGTAGAAGAAAGATAAAAGTTCATAAAAGCTCCCGGTTAAGGAGGAGATGACACGCGGCGACCTTAGCATAAGCGTTATAAACCGTGACAAGGATGGTTCTGCACTTGCTGAGCTTTTCTTTGAATCGTGTCCGAAAGAAAAGTATCTTTAGTTACCGTTTGGATATATTTTGTAATAAAATGTTTAAACGTATACGATAATAACATTTCAACAGTTAAAAGTAAATTTGCAAATTATTAATATAAATGTCTATTCTTGTATTAATATCATATAAAAATTCGATACATTAAAAGTAATAATTAATATAATCATAACATGTGGTATGTGGACCGGCTGCTTGAGAAATACATATACACATATAACAAATTTCAAGTGGCATGTAGTCGAATTGAAACTCTCTCCCACTTAATAATCTCCCGGTACTATCTTCTTGCTGTTGATATCACTCCCACCATCTTGTTTGGTATAGTCAAGGTGGAAGTTGTATTTGTATGAAACATCAATATAGGTTTGATGGTTGTGTGAATGAGGCTTCTCTTGGCCCATGCACATTGGTCCATTGGTATTTCGATTATCCAAACTCTCGATATTGAAAATTCAGGTTTGGCAAGTCCATACTAGTGATTCATGTACGTTATCATCCGAATTCTCAACATGAAAGCTATGGTTTGTGATTGCTGATATCGAAAAAAAAAACACTCTAAAATTTTATTTTAGTTAGTGTTTTGTAGTCCTTTTGCATTATATATGAACAGTAACCCAATCAGTAGTTATAAATTTCTATTTTGTATTTCATTATATAAAATTTGATATATTAAAATTAGTAATTAATCGTGGCAAGTATTAGATTTTGACCAATATTACAATAAAAATAATATTAGTAAATAAAACTTTTATTTATAAAATCATAAATACAATATATATTCAAACCTATATATAAAAACTGAAACATAAATATATATTTTAGTTAGAAAAGGAAACTAAAAACGAAAAATTAACACAATTTCAATTTAAGAAAATATATTATCAAATACTTATCCTATTAAAAAAAGAAGTAAATCTTTAGATTAAGAAATTATACAATCAAATACTTACCATATTAGAAAAGAAGTAAATCTTTAGTTTAAGAAAATATACAATCAAAATTTTCATTGTAAAAAGGAAAACAAAACCAAAAATAAACAAAATTTCAGTTTAGAAAAATAAATAATAAAATACATCCTAAAAGAAAATAGAATAAAACTTTAGTTTAGACATATAATTCAATTTAAAAAGAAAAAGAAAAACAGTTTAAGAATATATACAATCAAATGCTAATCCTAAAATTTGATTTAGAAAATTATAAAATCAAATATTAATCATAAAAAAATACAGCTATATATATGTTTAAAATCTCTTATAATATCGACAAAAAATAATACTATTAAACCAAATAAGTTCATAGAAATGAATTTACTTTTACTTGATGGTTCAAAGTTAACATATTCAATATAATTCTAACATGTCAATTCTACCAATCGGATTTTTATATATATAAAGAATTATATCAGTTAGATTTTAAAATATATGAAAAAAATTAATGTAAGTTTTTAGTGAATATTCATATTTATTATAACAAAAATATATTTTATTATATCACATATTTCACTATAAGATTATATTTAAGATTATAATTATGTTGATGCAGCAAAGTTACAAAATTTAGGTCTAATTATGTTGATGCAGCAAAGTTACAAAAATAAATTAGATTTTTATAAAGGTTTTTATTTCAGAATTTTCAATCTTACTTTATTTAAGTTCATAAGTATAATAATTTAGTGTTCTTATTTTTTATTTTTTTTTGGTTTCTTTTGCATTATTCAGATCATAATCTAAACTAAAATAATTGTAATACATGCAAATAAATCATTTAAATTTTGAAACATTGTCATAATTTTTTCTAATAAAAAGAATTAAATATGGTAAATTTCATAATAATTATTCTTAATAACAATATAATTATTAGTTCATTCAATTTTAAGAAAAATAACTATTTAAATAAAAATAATTAAAAATTAAAAATTTTAAATATGTGACTATTTAAAAAAATAGTAAAGGAATCAAACTAAATTAGTTTCTATGAAGGTTTTTGTTTCAGAATTTTTAATTTTATTTTATTTAAGTTTATAAATATAATAATTTAGTGTTTTTATTTTATTCTTTGGTTTCTTTTACATTATAAAATATAAATATAAATTATTAATTATTAAATATTCAGATCATAATATAAATTAAAATAATTGCAATACATGCGAATAAATTATTTAAATTTTGATACATTATCATAAGCTCTTTTAATAAAAAGAAGTAAATATGGTAAATTAGATAAAAGTTATTGTTAATATAATATAATTATTACTTCATTAAATTTTAAGACAATAACTATTTAAATAACAATAATTAAAAATAAAATATTTTATAAATTTATTTGTATATGGATTCTAACCGAGTTTTGTAGAAATGTTCTAAGAGAAAAAACTGTTGAAAAAGAAAAAAAAATCAAGTTATATAATAAGTTTACTTCGATTTACTAATTTTTAGCATTCTGAAAACAATATTGTACAACAGATGTGAAAAAAAAAAAAAAATTAAAAGTAAATAATTGAAGTCGTAATTAATAATCTTAATAATTTACATAAAAAATTAATAGATGGAAAAAAATTCACCATCTCTTAGAAAAAGAAGAGAGGCGCCGGAGAAGTGATAGTGCTGGTTACTGTTTGTGTGGAGATCTTCACCAAAAAAGAAAGGATATGAGAAAAAACAAGAGAAAAGAAGAAAAACTTTCCCTTTTACCAATGAAACAAAACAGCTCAGAGAACTGAAAAAGTGTGAATTTGGAAAATATTTCCCACTCTCTGCTACATCTTTCACTTCGATCTCCTTTGCTCAAACTTACAATTCTCCCAATTTCTCTATACGAGTTCCCTTACCTCTCTCTCTCTCTCTCTAGGGTTTTTGTCTTCCGAACGAAATTGCAGAAGCTCGCGCAAAACAACACTCTCTTCTCGTCTCACTGGTGAAAGATTCTTACTTTTTGGTGTCTAAGACATCCTAGATTTGTTGGTTTGTCTTTTTACTTTCTGGGTTTACTTCGATTCGATTCTCCTGGAGCCAGTAGATTATGTTACCACTGCTGCAGATTAGGGTTTTCTCGCGAAAGCTCTAATTTTTGTGTTCTGTTAATGACTTATTCCCTTAATTACCTTAAAGGGTATCTGTTCTATGGCGAATTTCGAGTGAGTTTTGTGGTTCCTATTTATGTCTTTAGGATTTGTTCTGTCTGCACATAAAATGGTTTCAGGGGGAAATGCTTTAGCTTTAGGTGTTGAGAGATCTCGTAATACAAAGTTCAGATTTTTTGTATAGAAGTCCCATTAAATAACCCATCTTCACTTAGTTACTGGGCTGTGTACTGTGTAACCGAGAAGAAAGCAGTGTTTTGATTATCCTCTGGCTATCCTGGAGATCTGGGATTTGTTTCATCTCTTATGTCAGATGAGGACTTTTTACCCATCTGAATCTTGTAAAGAATCACAGCTCAATTCGTTGAATCCACAGTCATGGCTTCAAGTTGAGAGAGGGAAGCTATCTTCCTCTGCTTCTTCATCTGCGTAAGTTTCTCTTCTTCTTTTTTTCCTGCTGGTTTGAAGTTTGGCTATGGAGTTAACCTTTTTGGTCTTTTGTAGTCCACTGTGCAGAGAATCGTTTATCAAAGTTCCCGAGCCGCAGATACTGCCGCATTATAAACCTCTTGACTATGTAGAAGTTCTTGCTCAGATTCATGAAGAACTCGAGACTTGTCCTTTGCAGGAGAGATCGACTCTGTATTTACTGCAGTATCAAGTGTTTAAAGGTCTTGGAGAGACCAAACTTAGACGGAGAAGCCTTCAATCAGCTTGGCAAGAGGCTACAACTGTCCATGAGAAAGTTGTGTTTGGGTCTTGGTTGAGGTATGAGAAGCAAGGAGAGGAAGTTATAGCCGATTTGCTTTCTTCTTGCGGTAAATATCCCCAGAAGTTTGTTCCACTGGATATTGCATCTTGTTTCCCACTTATGCCCGCTTCTTCCCCTGAGGCAGCATCTGTGAAGGTGAAGCGCTGCATATCGAAACATGTTGTGTTTAGGATAGGAGAAGAGAGAATAGCTTGTGATAGGAAGAAAATCGCGAGTCTTTCGGCTCCATTCCACGCTATGCTCTATGGGAATTTCACGGAGTCGCTTCTCGATGAGATAGATATGTCAGAGAATCATGTATCGTCGTTAGCTATGTCTGTTGTGAGAGATTTCAGTGTTGCGGGTGTTCTAACCGGAGTTTCCAAGAATCTTCTGTTGGAAGTGTTAGTTTTCGCAAACAAGTTCTGCTGCGAGAGACTTAAAGATGCTTGCGATAGAGAACTGGCTTCTCTGATATCTTCCATGGAATGTGCCGTTGAGCTTATGGACTTTGCACTCGAAGAGAGCTCTCCGATCCTAGCTGCGTCGTGTTTGCAAGTTTTTCTGTATGAGATGCCTGATAGTTTGACCGATGAGCGTGTTGTAGAGGTTCTGACTCGGGTTAACAGATCTCAAGTCTCAACCATGGCAGGGAAAGCTTCATTCTCCTTATACTCTTGTTTAAGCGAAGTCTCGATGCGTATAGATCCTCGGTCAGACAGAACATTGGGTTTCTTGGAAAAAACAGTTGACTTTGCGGAAAACGATCGGCAGAGAGTATTGGGGTTTCATCGGTTAGGTTGCATGAGGCTGTTAAGGAAAGAGTACCGTGAGGCTGAAGAAGCTTTTGAAACCGCTTTTAACCTAGGCCATGTGTATTCAGCTACTGGTCTAGCAAGAATAGGTTACATCCAAGGCCATCGGCTTTGGGCTTACGAGAAGCTAAGCTCTGTTATCTCCTCTGTTTCGCCTCCTCTCGGATGGATGTATCAAGAAAGGTCTTTATACTGTGAAGGTGATAAGAAAATGGAGGATCTTGGAAAAGCAACCGAGTTGGATCCGACTCTTACGTATCCTTACATGTACCGAGCAGTCACTCTGATGTCGAAGCAAAACGCTGAGGCTGCGCTCGAGGAAATCAACCGGATCTTGGGGTTTAAACTCGCGTTAGAATGCTTGGAAATCAGGTTTTGTCTCTATCTCGGTATGGATGATTACGAAGCGGCTCTTCGAGATATACAGGCTGCTCTTACTCTGTGCCCGGACTATCGGATGTTCGATGGGAAAGTAGCGGCGAGGCAGCTGAGGACGCTTGTGTATGAGCACGTCGAGAACTGGACAACCGCGGATTGTTGGATGCAGCTTTATGAGAAATGGTCGAATGTTGATGATATCGGCTCTCTTTCTGTGATCTATCAGATGCTCGAAGCGGATGCTTTTAAAGGTGTTCTTTACTTTAGACAATCTTTGCTTCTCCTAAGGTAAAGAGATCTTTCAATGCAAGATTGGTTTTGTCCTAGTTGAACATCCTTAACAGAGAGCATTTCGTTTGGTTTACTCTGTTTTGAACAGGTTGAATTGTCCTGAAGCAGCGATGCGTAGCTTACAGTTAGCGCGAGAGCACGCGTCGAGTGACCACGAGCGTCTGGTTTATGAAGGATGGATCTTATATGACACTGGTCACTGCGAAGAAGGGCTACAAAAGGCTAAGGAATCCATTAGAATAAAGAGATCATTCGAAGCTTATTTCCTCCAAGCTTATGCTTTAGCAGAATCTAGCCTCGACCCATCGAGTTCTTCAACCGTTGTTTCGCTTCTTGAAGACGCTCTTAAGTGCCCCTCTGATAGGTTGAGGAAAGGTCAGGTACGTTCGTTCACCACCAGCTTCTATTTGACACCATTTAGGCGATTAGATGCATCTATTGTTAATTCTATGAAGATGTTCTTGTTTGTTTTGTCTGTTTTGGTTTTAGGCTCTGAACAATCTCGGGAGCGTCTACGTAGATTGCGAGAAGCTAGACTTAGCTGCGGATTGTTACATAAACGCTCTGAAAGTGAGGCACACACGCGCGCACCAAGGACTAGCTCGTGTCCATTTCCTTAGAAACGACAAAGCTGCAGCTTATGAAGAAATGACCAGACTTATCGAAAAGGCTCAGAACAACGCATCTGCGTACGAGAAAAGATCCGAGTATTGTGACCGTGAACTCGCTAAATCCGATCTCGAAATGGTCACCCGTTTAGACCCTCTCCGTGTTTATCCTTACCGATACCGCGCCGCAGGTTTCTTTCAAACTCAACTCTTACGCTCTGTTTTCTTCTTATGCTCTGTTTTCTGTTTTTCTTCACCATCCCTATGAATACGCTCTGTTTTCTTCTTATGCTCTGTTTTCTTCTTATGCTCTGTTTTCTTCATATACTCGAAGCTTAACCTGAAATCTGTTTCCTTTTGTGGGTTTTGATAGTGTTGATGGATAGTCGGAAGGAGAAAGAGGCTATCTCGGAGTTATCACGAGCTATCGCCTTTAAAGCGGATCTTCATCTTCTTCACTTACGAGCGGCGTTCCACGAGCACATAGGGGATGTCGGGAGTGCGTTGCGGGACTGTCGTGCGGCGCTCTCCGTCGACCCTAACCATCAAGAGATGCTCGAACTCCATAGCCGTGTTAATAGCCATGAACCTTGAACGCAAACCACACACACAACAAATGCTTGGAGATGATAGTAAAAGTGTGAAAATTTGTAAAACTCTAAAATTCATAGTTGTATTGTAAACTTTGTATTCTCTCGTCAGTCTTGTTTATTCTTTGTTTGTGTTGCTTTCCTTAAATCGATTTTTATATATTCTCCTTATCGTCGTTAACTTATAATCACGTATATTTGTTTGATTATTCATTCAAGAATTTCACAATTCGAAAAAGCCTTTTTGAAACTTAAAAAAAAAGCAGAATATTCGGTGTTGCATGATGCAGCATGCATGGGTTTAGTTACACTCGTGTCTCATGATGGTCACATGTTTTTGGCCTAAATAGATTCTATCATATCATTGAGCCTTATCAAAAGTGAAACTCTTCTTAGACTGTAGACATGCCTTATCCCAGTGAATCTTATGGACGAAGAAGTCTAGGGGCAAAGTAAACTTTAACAAACTTTATGTTTAGGTAGGAATATTGTTTTTAGAAAAACTCATAAGAGATTCTTTTTTTTTTAAAGTTAAAGAGCGGATGAGAGTTTGCGAAAATTCTTGTTGGTGGGGTAAGTACGTTGTTTTTTTAGCATGAACACATTTCAGAGGGATATATAAGAATGCTAATCAAAAACCTAAAAAGGTAAAATAAAAAAGGAAGATAACACAAAGTCATCCACGAGAGTAAATAGACGAAATAAAAATTCAACAAAGCAAAATATTCCTCTTTGATATTCAAAGCCAAAATGCTTTTAGGGCATTGGGTTCTTTAATTTGTTATATCTTTTGTGTGTCTTTATTTCCTTTCTTCACAATTGTAGTATCTTTGTGAGTGATTCAAACTCAAAGTCAGCTAGGAGTAATGGACGATGTTGAATTCTTGGGTTCCAAATTTGAAATTTAAGTTGAGAATTATACAAGAAAGTTCTTTAATTTATCAGTTGAACAAAGACATTTAACCCGAACCTTTTGTATGCACTATGCAGTATGTTCTCAAGTTTTAGACAATTAAATGAAGTATGTTTGAGTTTTTTTTTTTGTTTTTGAAACACATGTTCCCTCTTTCCATTGAGTTTATATTTGGCTTCAGTACTTGTTTTAATTATTTCATTGCTTATGATAACTTTCATTCAAATTATGAGTGTGCCTTTTAAATAATTTTGGGTATCTTTTGATGAGAGTGAAAAGGAGAATAACACCTCTCGAATTCATAATAACATCACACATAAAGAAAAAAAAACACAATTAAAAGGTGATCATAATTATCAGGAAATATATAATAGGGATTTTACACTGAAAGATGAAATTAAAATCCCTAAAGTTAAAAAGAAAGAATTCAAAGACTACTCCATATCACAATAACAAGTATACTTTTGTTATTGGTAATGAATCGAAAACAACAAAAAATAATCTTGGAACATATATAATACGTACCTATTGCCAACTTTTGAACAAATTTAGATTATTAACTACCGATGATAGTTCAACTAGTCATATGTAGTAGCAAACTATCAACATATTCAAAATTGAGTTTTACTAAAACGATGTGCGTATATCTTAAAGAAGCTACGATTCACTTTACTGAACTTGAATTTTCTAATTCCTATATAAAAGATTTTCCTGTCTTCGTCAAAAGAATAAGATTTCCTTATTGTAGACTAAATTAAAAGTAATATTTAGTGTATTCCTCAATGGTTGGTTCTGTTACTAATAGTCTTCTATTATAAGAACGATGTTTTTTGGCCAAGTAAATTGCGTTTTAGATTCTCTTACAAACTAAAACAAAACAAAAAGGTTTCCTTTATATGACCCAATAAATAAAAAGCATTCTCCTTCTTGATAAATAAGTAATTATTACTTCTACTTAAGGCAATTACGCCTGTTAAGTCTTATCTCACAATATTTTCCATTTATTGAACAAATTGATAGCTTGCTTTATTTCCTTTCTGGGGTCTACTCATCTTTTTAGTAGACAATTTTAAGTAAATGCTGATAGTCTGGTCCTGTAATCATCACTCTTCTCTGTAATTGCAGAAGAGTCTCCAAAATAAAAACTGACAATAATAGTTTTAAAAGAAAAAACAGTTAAAATTAGTATTTGAAAATAAGTCAAAATCTCACTTTCAAATACACTCTCTCTCTCTCCTCTGTGGTATTTATCTGCACCTAGAAAAACTTTAAAACGGGAATCAAACAGTCTTTGCATTTACTGTAAGCACACACATATATGTATCTGTGCAAAATATTGATAGTGACCGTGGAGAATAATCCATCATGGTCGTCCTCTTGCTTTTGAAAACTGTAGATACATATATGTGTATATACACCCAAATAACTAAAAATTAAAAAAATTAGAAATTAGGACTATTTATTTTTCTTTCATATATAGCCAAAGAATGATGTCTTTCTGTGTAAACTGCTTACTCTCTAGGTACTTGATCAAATGTCTTTATTTTAAGAGATCAGAATAAACCAAAGTTTGGATCCTTTTATAGTTTTCTTTCACCTTTTGTTTTTTCTCTTGTTGGAGTTTTCTTCTTGATATAGCTATAACCATATAGCCATGGATATGTTTTCCTCTCGAAACTGGTCCTATAAACTAAGCTCTTTGTCTGCTCAAGCAAGTGCTTCTTCTGATAATACACTCAGTACCATCCAAGATTTTAATGGCTTGAACAATGTAATTTCTAGTCGTCTTTGTACACACACAGAGACTCAAAAGACTAAGAAAAGAAGAGGCGTTCCTGGAAATCCTGGTAATACAAAATTATGATATTTTTTTCACTTTATTTCTATTGACCATGGCTTTAATTATTCCATTTGGGTTCTTGAATACCAGTTGAATCTGAAAAATGTTTTCATCTGATTTTTTATTCCTGGTAGAATCTTGGTACCTTTTTTTTTTAATCTAAAAACCTTTTTCATATGGATTTTTTTTTAAAATACTAGTTAGTAGAATCTGATGACTTTATTCATTTGGGTTATTTTATTACTAGCATATTCTGGGAGCTTTAATTTTTCATATTAGTTTTGTAAAAAGTCTTCCTTTTACTAAACAATTAGGGTTTGTCTCAAAATCATCTTTTTACCAAGAATTGAGACCTTTTTTTTCATGTGAAACTGGTTTCTGTGGCAGATCCAGATGCGGAGGTAATTGCATTATCACCAAAGGCACTTCTTGCAACAAACAGATTCGTCTGTGAGATATGCAACAAAGGGTTTCAAAGGGATCAGAATCTACAGCTTCACAGGAGAGGCCACAATCTTCCATGGAAGCTGAAGCAGAAGAACAGCAAAGAACAGCAGAAGAAGAAAGTCTATGTGTGCCCAGAGACAAACTGTGTTCATCATCACCCATCTAGGGCTCTTGGTGATCTCACAGGGATCAAGAAACACTTTTGCAGGAAACATGGGGAGAAGAAATGGAAATGTGAAAAGTGTTCAAAGTTCTACGCTGTTCAATCTGATTGGAAAGCTCACACTAAGGTCTGTGGTACAAGAGAGTATAGATGTGACTGTGGCACTCTCTTCTCGAGGTAAGCTTTTTCAACAATTTACTATTATTTTTATTGTATTTTGGTTCTTATATAAAGTTCTAGCTTCTTGTTTCTTGTTAATTTGATTTCTTGATATTTTTACTGATGTTTCTGTGCCAAATCAAGATTATTATCTATATATATATAGAGATGGCAGTCCACATGTTATATGTGAATCTATAATTGTTTCTTGAAATATATTGTAGTTATATATGTACAGATGAATTTAATGCTTTCGTGTGACTAATTTCAAATGTCTTCTTTTGGTTATATGTTCTTTGACAAAACTGCTAGTGTCTGTCCATGGAATATAGTGAGTTCAAATTAAATGCAGTGGCAAATTCATGGATTAAGACATTACATATATACATATCGGCCATTAGTAAAAAAATATACGTTTTTTCTTTTGTGAAGAACCAAATTTTATGCACTCATGAGATTGACATAAATCAATTTATAAAGCTAATGTGTGTGTATACATAAGTATTAACATTTCTTCCAATAAAAAATGGCTTTTTAATTTTCTATTTTATGTAATTTTTTTGTTGCATTATTGAAAGGAGATAATAAAAAGCCTGCAGGTGAATCTTCTCCTTCATCATAATGCTGAAAAAGAGTCATAATTTGAATTTTCTTTGTGTGTAAGAGAGTTTTGTAATCTATGATTTGATTTGCTAAGTCTAAATTGCTTTGGTCCATTATTACATGACAGGCTTCAAAAGCTTTTCTTGGAATTTTGAAACTTCTTCCTCTTATGTGTGGTCCACCTAAAATTATTTCACTTCTTGCAAATTCAATCATCATCGATCGTATTATACAAATTATTATTCATCTTCACATCTAATTTTATTTTTTGGGAACTTTTTATAAACAGGAAAGACAGTTTCATAACGCATAGAGCGTTCTGTGATGCATTAGCAGAAGAAAGTGCAAGAATCATCTCGTCTTCTTCCTCCAATCTCACAAAGCCTAACCCTAATTTTCAAGATCGTCACTTTATGGTCAATAAATCACCTTCTTCCTTGCTCTTCACGTCACCTCCTTACGCTGACCCACCACATTCCGCCGCTGTCGTTTCTTCCTCTTCGACGGCAGCTCTTTCCGCGACAGCTCTCCTCCAAAAAGCGACTGCTCTTAGCTCCGGCACTTTCAGCGGCGGAGGACAAACGCGATCAATTGGTCATCACAGACATTTGACGACAGCCAACGAGCTTCTTGGTGTTGACCCAGTCATGATGACGTCACCTTCTTCGTCTGAGTACGACCAGCTAGTTGTTGATGGGTTAACGTCCACGTGGCAGAAAGCTGACCGTTTGACCAGGGACTTTCTTGGACTCACGGGTCATGGAGTGCACGTTAGCGTCAGACCCGGTGATATGCTAGGCTACGCAGGTGGAGTGGCGTTTCCTATGTCGGCGTACGATACCCAGTCTCATCATAATCACGAGTCGTCGTTTCAGAAGGCTTATGATCTGGGATTCTCCGGGCCCCACCATATGTGAAAGGGTAAAACTGGAATCTACTTCCATTATTTTGTTGCTCTTTAATGACTCAAATACCCTTGGGAACAAGAACGCAAAGAGCATTGGAACATTTCTTTTTTAGGGATTTAATCTAATTTCTCTAGTTTACGTTGGATTTTCTTGTAAAAAGTATTGGTACAAGTAAAACATTTAGAATTTCCCTTTTTAAAACTACGACCGTTAATCAAAAGGGTGTTCTTTCTATAAGTTTTAACATAAACAATTATCTTTGAGTTAAAAAGAAAAACATTACAGTATATCTTATTATCTTTCCACATAAAAAAATAATTGGATCAGTGAAAAGGTCTCACAAACTGCACCTCTAGGGATTGACGAATGTGTCCTCTCAAAGCCAGCTTCTTTGATTGTGATAGATACTATTGAACAACGTCATAGATCTACGTATTAAAACAAGAACAAAAAACTTCATATCAACGTACATGTACACATCATATTACATGCAATTATTGTATACATATAACATAATTTGTCATCATATAATTTCATATGTATCACTTAAAAGGAAATATCTATTGCTATATATGGGTGAAAATTTATCGTTAAGTACTCAAATTTGACAATAGACCACAAAAAATATTTATCGTTTTTCTGATATTGCTGTTAACAGATTTCTATCGTAATCACTAATCAATCAGGGACAATGGTCTTATGTATTGATGGTCATTTATGTTTTCATTAAAGCATTAGCAAATAGCAACGAACAAAACAACTATCATTTTCATGATCGCATACTGTGATGATGATTAGTCGCTAATCTACCTATCACAATAGTGACAAAATTATTAAAAAAAAAAGTTATGCCCTATTCTATAAGCTAGAACGACGGATATCCACAAACTCTCTCAAGAATAATACAGTATTAACAAAATAATGAGAAGCCGGCTAATATATTGTCCCACTCCAAAAACGTTGAATCTGATTATATATCACAACTCTTTAATAATGTATTAGCTAGTTTTTGTTTTCCACGACATAAGATTAGTTCTGAGAAAAACAAGGTAGTTTAGAAATATAATTAGGAGTAGCATCATAGCTTGTAAGTTCTCTTTCGAAAGTAATATATTATATTGGTTAAAAAATGGAACACAAATTAAATAGAAAGGAATTAGAAACACCTAAAGAAGGAGTGTGGGTGAGTGATCAATTTAAAAAGATATAGAAAACTACGAGGAATAATATAGTAGAAAAGATTAAAAAAACGAATGTCAAAGAGCTTGTTGACGAGGACACGCATGAACATGCGAACACTTTAAACAAAAAAAAAAAAAAAACTAATAAAGAGAACATGCGACCACTAAAAGTCAAAAGATGAACTAAAGAACATTGTTAATGGGATCAATATAGTTTCCTTTTATGTTTTTACGAGCTCTTCTTAGTCCCCCTCTATACAACTTCTTTTTCCTTTGCTTTTTTTTGCTCGTGATTGAAAAATTCTAGGTCCATCCGTCCATGTAAAATTCTGCAATAATTTAAGAAAAAAAAAACCATATAACATATACATACAATTTACAATTCATACACATATATCTCTGGACTTCATTGTTGGATCCTCCGAAGCAATAGTTTGGTGATTGGTTTGAGAATGAGCCGGAGAGATTCATTTTTCAGTGTTTAACCTAAACCAAAGAAATGATTTGTTTTTCTTACAGTTAAATCGCATAAATTCAGCACATAAACGAGAGTTATCATACCATTATTAAAACAACAAAATCATCATCCAATATTTGATAGATGGCTTTACGTACGTACAATGGTTTAGTTCTTAAAAAGCAAGAAAATGACTTCCCTATGCAGTAATGATATAATAGTTTTAGTATATATATGAATACCGTATAAGATTGTTAATATTGATATTACCCTTACATGAAGCTAGGGTACAGATCATTGTCATTAAATTGAGAGGAGATTTTGACATACACAACACTTGAAAACAGCTATGCATGAAACAGATCTCTAAGATCGAGAGTTAGACTCTTTTTTTGCATCTAAACTCCCATTTTGTGTACGACATTTGATGTTTTACTCAAGCAGTGTGTAACCGTGTAAGTAATGTTTAACAGTGAGATACAAATCAAGAGTCTCTCATAAAAAAACCATACTAGTTTTGACTTTTGAAGCAATAAAAAAAGATGTAATTCCTCAAATTAGTAGTAGTAGTAGTATTTACATCTACGTGGATCTGACCGTATAGTCAGCTTTTAAAGAGTAACGGGGTTAGAATATAAAATAAAAAAATTTCAGGGGGTGATAAGATAAAATATTCGAAAGTGAGTTCTCTTTATTTAAATATCTATTTTAAGGAAATTAAATAAAGAAAACCGCGAGAGTGAGGGAGAAAGTGAGACGACTTTGACTTTGTTTGAAGCGATAAACAAGGCGCGGAGAAACGACGACGAAGAAAAACAGCAGAGAAGATCACAAAAGGGAGAAATAATTTGTCATCTTCTCTTCGTTAATCGACCAACGAAATCAATTTTTGTTTCTTCGTTAATTGTTCAATAAATCTCAATTTCCTGTATCTCCTGTCACATTCTGCTGAGAGATTATCAACGGGGAAGGAAAAAAAATTAAAGTGTTGTTGTGGGGGGAGCTGTTGAATCGCTAATTGAAGATCACAAAAGGGATCTCAGATTTTGTTCTTGCTACCAAACCCTAATCTCGCATATTGCACCAGCTCACAGAGTTTTTGATGTCTGGGTTGGTTAATCGAAGAATCGGTGGAAACGATTTGGTTTCTGATCGACGACTCGGATCTGGGTCGTGCCGGATCGATTCAGGAGTGGTCTGTTGAGGTAATCGGATGAGTGTTTCTGGAATTGAAACGGTGGAACGATGAAATGGGGAACATTGTTTAAGGATTTAAAGGATAAGGTCGGCATAGCTGAAACAACCGCCGATTTAACCGCCGGCGAAGGTTCCGGTGACCTCATTGCTCCGCCGTCTCCCTTGTCTGCTTCATCGTCATCTAGTTACACCGCCTCTGCTCAACATGACTTCAATTTGTTATCTCCTACAAGGTAAATTTCAAAAAAAAAAAAAATCTCCAAAAGGAATTTCTTAGTTTAGGAGTCTGTTCTAATTAGTTTTTTCAAGGCAATCTTAGAACTTTAGCACTTTAGTTTAATCAATGTTGGCATAAGCAATCAATGATTTTCCTTTTACTTCTTTAGTAGCCGAGTTAAGCATAAGTTGGAGCTGGACTTCGAGAGATACTGGGAAGAGTTCTGCTCATCAAGCTCCGAACAGGTTCGTGTACGATGGATAATCCACACTCATGCATGCTTTTATTATTTGTTCATAGATGTTCCGTTTATGTTCCGTATAATCACTTACTGTCTTCAGATGAAAACAAGTGGCAAATCACGACTGCTAATCATTCATATATGTCACAGCAGGAGAAAGAAGCCGCCTTGAATTTGAGTGTGAATACGTTTTGTAAACTAGTGAAGCAGCATGTCAACATAGATCAGTTAGTTACCGTGTAAGCCATTCCTAACTCTTCCTTTTGTTCCTATATTTCTCGAATCTGGATTCATATTAAGCCGGTTTTATATCCATCTAAACTAGGAGATAAAGGTTCTCTGAGTCTTCACATGATTAAAGCTTTTGTTAAGATCCTACGTTTCCTATCTTGAATGTTTTTCTTCGTCTGAGGGTCTTCTTCTATAGTTTAAATTCCTCTCCAGAAATCAGATATGAGAATGTTACCCATTTCGAGAATTTTATTTCAATTGCAGGTTAGTAGAAACACATATATTCTCTTTCGTCATAGGGAGAGCATTTGTGACAGATATTGAAAAGTTAAAGATTAGCAGTAAGACAAGGTCACTGGATGTAGAGAAACTAATAAAGTTCTTTTCTGAAGTCACCGAGGTTTGCCTTTCTTTCTGAGTACAGTGAACAAGGACATCTTAGCTTCTCTTCTATGTTAATCCGTGATTTTGTTTTTCCTGCAGGAGGGTTTAAGTCGTGGTGCAAACCTTTTAACTGCTGTTGAAGTCCTTGCATCCGGGGTACCTTTTTTACTTTTACATGTCTTTCCTCTCAATTAAATGATTTTACTCCGCTCAACTATGAGTTTAAATTGTTTACTCTATATTCTGCCAATTAACCTTTTCTGTTTTCTTTTCAGCCTATTGACAAACAATCTTTACTGGATTCTGGTATATTGGGTTGTCTAATACACACTCTTAATGCGCTTCTGACATCTAGTGTCGCCAGTGAAAGTGAAAAATCTGTTAATTTGGAAGAAAAGGTAAAGACGGCAGATGTAGTACTCTTTAAGCTAGACACTTGAGGTTGTATTTCAATGGTTTTCTTCAAAGTCAAGTATAACATATTTTTCTACAGTATAACTGTTTCATCCTGGTCAATTTGTAAACTCTGCAATGCCTTATCCTCATTCTTGCAGGTGGAGGGGAGTTTTATCCATATCATGAAAGCATTGGCAAGCCATCCTTGTGCTGTGCAGAGTTTAATTGAAGATGACTCCCTTCAGTTGCTTTTCAAAATGGTTGCCAATGGTTCCTTCGTGGCTTTCTCTCAACACAAAGAAGGTTTAGTTTCATTCCATATCATACAGCTTCACAGACATGCGATGCAGGTAATTTGTTGCTCTCCTATTCTAAAAATCGAGCTATGTGTTTTGAAGCTGAAACAGCTGCAAACTGCTCCGTAGCATGACCAACTTGAGCGAATGTTGTGATACTTATAGATTTATCTATGATTCTCTTCTGTGTTTCTTTCAGATTCTTGGGCTTCTTCTTGTCAATGACAATGGGAGCACGGCAAGCTACATACGCAAACACCATCTGGTATGCCAGTGGATTCTGTAGAAAGCCTCACTGTGGTTTATCGATTTTTGTGTGTTTCCTAAGCTGTGACCCTGAATATTGGTCAATCATTTCGTGCTTGTGTTCAACCTATCTAAATATTTAATACCAGGAGACTTAACTGAATTTTATTAGAAGAGCATGAGACTCAAGCTAATGATAAATCTTGGTTTTGTGCATATACTTTAGTTTACAATCTTAGTATTGCCATATATAGCTGAATCTCTGGTCTTTAAGAGGTCTCTTTTTGTGATGCTTATAGGTTATGTTCAAACCATTTCACAATAATCCTTTTCTTAAATTAAGGTGTTTATAAGAATACTTGCCCTTTCAACAAAAACAAAAAAAAGA